TAAGAAACTCTACAAGTATAATTAAAAAAACACAATTAACAAATACAAATAAACTAAATTTTGTTCAACTAAATTAGTTAATTTTCTAATTTGCTTAGAAAAAATTATATTAATTTAATTAATTCAATATAAAAAAACTAAAAAAATTATTTAAATTTGGTTCTTGGTCTAGAACCGAACCAAACTCATCGGTTCTCGATTCAGATACCTGTTCGAGTATTTAACTTATGAAAAATCACTCGATTCGGTTCGATTTGGTTCGATCCGGTTTGATTCGAGAGTTTTATCCAGCCCTAGACCAAACTATACGAGAAGTGCCTGATTTTTTTTTCGAAGACCCATGACTTGTTGGGAATTTTCTTAATCATGAAAATAATTTTAATTCTTAATAAGGATATGTTTTGTATTTAGATAGAAACTATAACAAGAATTATAACTTTAGTTAATTCTACAAAATTCTTTAACAATCTTGAATACATACAATCACGATCTGCACACCACGGCTTTCAAGTGTCCAACCTCCAATAATAATTCATACATGGAACGAGAAGGAGATAATAAGGTCTAAATTTATTTGTGTTAGCAAGATAATGATTATGTTATATTTTTTCCATGGGCGGATATGGGGGGAGGCTGCACTGGGCCTCAGCCCAGTACCACTTTAGCCCATATCGTATTTTGCTTTGTAACTTTTTTATTAAAGAATTTATATTTTGGCCCAAATTTCAAATTAGCCCATTTCTATAATATTTGTCAACTTCAAGCCCAATTTCTTAAATGAACCAAATTTTAGAATTACCCCACTTCCAAATCTATTGCTCAAAATAATATTTCTTTCAAAATTTAATACAGTGGGTAAAAGGTAATGAACAACCTTATTTTTGTTGCAGTAGTCCAAAGATATAAAATCCAAATGAGATGATAGAATTGTATTAATTGATATTTTAACCTCTTCATATCAGAAATCATATCCATGCTAGTATGTTTATCATGAGCAAGAAAATTATCTAATGAAACTAAACATACATATAAAATATGATGAGGGCCAAAAAAAATAAAAACTATTGAAAATCTTAAAAGTAATTAAAATTTAATTTTTTGTACGTTTCTTTTATTAATTTTACTTATAAGTTAAAAAAATACTTATTGACCATGAAATCGATGTTATTATCAAAATAGGTAACTTGCTCTACATTTAATTTTATTAGTAGAAATAATATTTCTTAAAAAATTATTTATTTATAAATTAAAATTATATTATTGAA